TGTAAATAAATAAGAATTCAATTAAAGATAGAATATTCTTATATTGTTGATAATTGATTATCACTTGTAGTTTTATAGAAACATCTTGCTTGAATCTTCACCTTGGAAACCTAGATAGTTTGTGGATATTCTGTACTTCTATATATTTCAGTATCGATTTGCATGATTTTCCCAGGTTATCATGATAATGATGATGGTTTAACTTAGTCTAGTATGAAACATCGTCCAAGGAAAATGAAGTTAATGATTAACTCTGTAGTGTTCATCGTCGTGATCCCAAATGCCCTGGTATGGTCAAGAGTGAGGAGAGTCCGTTCTCCCTCTCGAAATGCTCTCACGTGGTCACGCGTATATAGCCTATGCCAGGTAAGTCCTACTTACTGCCTTCTTGTGGCATTACTGTTGTTTATGAAATTGAGAGGAAGAAAAGCGAATGTCTGGCGCTTTAACCGGGTCGGTGGACACGGAAAGTCCACCTAGGTGAGTTGGGAAACCCTGATTCAAAACCAATGGAGTACATGGGCTCCAGTATCCTTAGGGAACAAATGGTGTATGAATCAATTGTTGGTCACCGGCTACCAACTGCATCTGCTTACGATGCTCCACTGCCTTATGGATCAGATCTTTTGTTCAAAGTGTCCCTAAGAATACCACCTGTTTCGGTTTGGGCTTCCGGACAGTATCACAGCCCTTACACAAATCGAATGAGATTCGCGTGGCGCATATATATCTGGTACACTTTTGTACCAATATTTATGTGTTCAAATAAATAAATAACATCATCGTATTGTTGACCGTATCAGAAAAGAATACACCCAGAGTGTCTCTTACCCTAATAGCTTTTAGAAGAATTTTCTCATAGATCTTGAGCTAACATAAGTTATTATCCCTTAAAAGATTTGATACAACCTATCAATATTCAAAGTGCTCGAAGTAAGCCCCCCTACCCTACTTGAAGTTCAAAAGGCTATAGGTAATCTGAAACGAGGAAGAGCAGATGGATTGGCTCCAGAGGTCTTTAAATACGGTGGTCCAATTTTAGCGATTAGGTTGACTAATATTCTGGCTAAAATCTGGGAAACGGATGTAATCCCATCCGACTGGTCACAATCTCTGATTGTCCCAATATATAAAAAGGGGTCAAAATCATCCTTTGATAACCATAGAGGGATTAGTCTGACTAACATAGCATCTAAAATACTAGCCTCAATAATTATCGGGCGCCTAACTAAGACTCGTGAACTGCAAACACGAGAAAATCAGGCTGGCTTCAGATCTGGTCGTTGCTGTGTCGACGACATATTCATTATTCGTCAGGTTTTAGAACACAGACATGCCTATCTGCGTCCGACAATAATAGTTTTTCTTGACTTGAAAGCAGCATTTGACTCTGTAGACCGAGAGGTTCTGTGGCAGTGTCTGTCATTGAAAGGTGTACCTGAGAAGTACATAAACCTTGTGAAGGCTCTTTACTCGAACACTATTAGTCGAGTGATAGCTTATGGCGAACTGTCATCTGATTTTACAATCTCAAGTGGTGTCCGTCAAGGTTGTCCACTATCCCTATTTTTGTTTAACTTCATTATAGACCTGTTGCTGGAAATAACACTCTCTTCGACTGAATCTACAGGAATTGATCTCCTACCAGGGGGACCACTAATCGACTTAGAATACGCAGATGACATAGTCCTGTTTGGTGAAGACGCTGGCAAAATGCAGAGTCTTCTGCTGGAACTCAGTAATAATGCCAGGATGTTTGGGATGCGTTTCTCCCCATCCAAATGTAAATTGTTACTCCAGGACTGGCCTGCGTCAACACCCGAACTAAGGATAGGGAGTGAAGTAGTCGACAACTTCACTTATCTTGGAAGTGTGATCAGCCCTAATGGGTTGGTGTCTGACGAAATCTCAGCATGGATTCGAAAAGCTCGTTTGGCTTTTGCCAACTTACGTCACCTATGGCGAAGACGAGATATCCGTCTATCAATTAAGGGACGAGTATACTGCGCATCAGTTCGCTCTGTTCTACTTTACGGCTGTGAAACATGGCCATTAAGAGTAGAAGATACTCGTAGGTTACTAGTATTTGACCACAGATGCCTTAGAAATATTGCTCGCATCTGCTGGGATCACCGGGTAAGTAATAGTGAGGTTAGACGCAGGGTATTAGGGAACGATGGTAAATCAGTTGATGAGGTGATGAATCTTCACCGACTGAGATGGTTGGGCCATGTGTTACGTATGCCTGAACACCGATTACCACGACGCGCTATGATTACTAGTGTAGGGGATTGTTGGATGAGAGTTAGGGGCGGCCAAACGAAAACATGGCATCAGTGTTTGAAGTCACTAACTTCTAGTCTGAGCCATGTTGGTAGATGCAGACTACCTGGTTGGGGTCCGTGTGACTCGTAACGAATGGTTGGATACTGTGTGTGACATGGCTCAGAATCGATCACAATGGCGTAGATGTATACACTATCTATCTTACCTTAAACCTTGAGATTAAAATTGCCTCATAACTTTTTTTCCTTCGTATACTATATCCTTATATACAATCTTTCTTTTATATATTACCACTACTAAATTAACTATTTCTATGAATTCGGTGTTGATCTTGTTGTGCTAACGAGGTATGGCAACTTTGACCGATGCATAAATGTGCCTGGTCCTACGTTGTCGCTGACTGACTGACTGATCAATATTCAAGCAGTTCATAGAATGCATTAATTTAGCATGAATTTGAATAATATCAACCATTTTATTGGTCGAAAAAGATGCAAACACTGCGTTATTAAAGTAGAAATAATTTTTTAAAAACCAAATTATAGAAAGATGATGGATAGATTGTAATAGATTATAGAATTCGATCAGTCCTAAGGACATTGTAAACGTAACATAATTTAGTGCTTAGTAACTGATTATTTTCTTGGTTTTCATATCTCGATGTTGTCGATTGTGACCAGTTTCTTCATAACTACTGTTGACTAGAACGGAACATGGACCTATTGATTCCTGTAGTCTTTACTGATTGAAAAATTCATTTAAAAGGATTAAAATCCAGCCAAAGAATTGAGCAAAAAACTTTTACGGCACTAGTGACAAAATAGTATGACAATTTCCAGATACATATATGAACTAATACATCCTCATCACTTATACAACAGTCAGACAAGATAACCAAAATAAAATGGAACTCTTAGAGACTGAGTTTCTGTTTGGAATTTGTAGAGAACTGATATAACGAGGTGAATACTGTGAAAGTAATCATTTTCAGAACTATCTTAAGAAGAACTACTATCTATACTTTAGCTGTATAATTACTAAATACTTGGATTATTTTATATTGGTATTCCCCTACTTGTAAGCTTTTCATGGTTCATTAACTGTTTCTATATTGTACTTTCCCTACGTTACTGTTGATTTATCAAAGACTTTCCCTTGTTTAGTCATATGATCATTGGATTTTCATGCTTATACTGCTGTGCGATTAGGTAACTAAATAATTTTGAATTTATGAACTGAACTATACTATAGAAGTTTGTCTACCCTCTTTGTTCTGTTGTGACCGTTGGGCAAGTGAGATTAGGAAGCTGCATCCAGAACCAGTAGGCTTATGTATTGATGTCGGCCATTTCGTCACTGTCATCGACTTGTTGGTCAAAAGGGGGTATTTTGTCATTTGGTTAACAGAAGGCTATTGGTCGTACACAACCGAACTAAATAACACAATTTCTTCTAGAATAACGGCCTAATCACACGGTGCCCAATAAAATGTAAAGATTTGTTCATTTTACCCTTAAACCATTGGTTTTATTCAAAGTAATTCTTATCTGTAGTTTATTTATCAACTACAGACTAACATACTCAGCTTCTATCTACATATTCTTTGTGTTTGATAGTCAAAGATATTCCCTGATCGGCCAAACCTGGTTTAGAAGATTTTTAGCTCAGGTGGGTGATTTTGATAAAGCTTTGTTCTCTGAGCTGGATGGTTTGGTCGTGGAGCTTTCATCATCCTTCTGAACCAGATCATCAGAACAAACTTCGGGTAGAAGTGAAGTGTTTGAATTTCTGCACATGTGATTCACAGCTTGTACTGTGCACCTCGATGTTGATTCGTTCTTATTGACCTTAAATCTGTCACTGTTTATTTCTTTGTTTGGGTTGTATCTTCTATTGGTTTGATTTTTGTTCCTATGTTTCTGCATAATTTTCTAATCACAATTGATTGATCACTGGGTATATATATTGAGGTAAAATGATGTTTGGAAGTGGTCAACAGTAAATCCTGGACCCGTGTTTCGTGCTACTTGGCACTCGTCCGCAAGGTGTACCTGTAATCTTGAGGTAACTGATGCTCCCTGGCGGATTCGATCCCGTGTCACTCGCGACCGACCTCCTGTAGGACTGAGATCTAATCACAATTGATTGATCACTGGGTGTTGATCAATCTCATGCGTGTCAAGTGCTTAGTGCTGATCGAATGCTATCGATCAATTTTCTTGATTGTTTTGTTTCAATGTGCTTGTTTATTGCTGATTGACCTGAGTACCAAGCTTCTAAAAGTTCTCTGGTGTTTTTGGAATTGTCTCTATCCAAAATCTGCACATTTTTCCAGTCGAATGTGTGTCCGTAGTTGTCCACGTATATTGATATGAGTGAAGACATGTCGTGGTGTTTGACTGGTAATTGATGTTCGTGCGGGCGAAGACGAAGGGGTCGTTCGCTTTGTCCGATTTACTTCAACCACTTCACTTCTACCTGAAGTTTGTGCTGATGTCGTTCAGAAGGACGATGAAAGCTAAACGACCAAACCATCCAGCTCAGTGAACAAACCTACATCAAAAAGGTACACACTAACTTCATTCATATTTATTATAATGCTATAAGCAGAGTTGGGTTATAGAGATAACAACAGAATCTAGAATTCACATTTCACCTTATATTTTGAACTCATCAAGTTGGATGTACCTAAACCTCAGTCTTGATGTTCACATCGGAACTTGAATGTAGTACCTTTCGCTTCAAACGCCTAACATCAACAAACAGAAGATTTGAACAGCCTTTATAAACGATATTTCCAATTGAAACAAACACAACTAGTTTTCATTGACTATTTTGTTTATTTCACTGATCTAATTAGAATATTTTTTTTGTATTTTTTTTACATTGCCCATTATTGTTTTAATCAAAAGAATAAACACAATGTATATTAAGAAAAGAATCTATCTACCTCTCTACCCCTCTCTCTCTCTATATATATATATATATACTTTTGTCTACAATGAATGGAGGGGTAGGTTGTAATTACATCTAATGAATAGAATTAATGGGGTGTTTGTTTTCCTCTCTTTGGTTGCCATATACATTTGAATTCATTTAAAGATTCAATATATATTACATTGTACGACAGTTTTTCTTTTTATAAATAAAAATGATTCATTTGTTCTATTATATTATCAATCGTTAATTGTCCATATTGTTCTGGATTTGATTGGATTAATTCATACAATTTATTTAATTGTTTATAACGTAATTCATTTTCTTCATTTTGTTCATCCAATGATAATTTATTAAATTCATTAAATAACTTTGATTTTTTTATACTACTTAATGAATTTAAGTAGTTAGTAGTATTATTAGTAGTTTGTTTATTTACAATTTTTATATCTTTGATAATGATTTCTTCCTCTTTTTTATCAGATTTATCTATAAAAAGAAATAAGATAAAACGTTTATTGGTTGAGTATCATACGGTAATGTATATTTAAAGTAACTTAAGATCAAAGGGAATTCAGCGAGAAGAACATTTCTCTTTTCGATGAAATCATTTAATGAGAAGGGATTTTGTGGAGATTTCAGTATTTTCATAGTTGAAAGCTAGACCACCATGGAAAACCTGGAAGCACTGGATGGCCGTTTCGTTCTATTGTGGGACTCCTCAGTGGCAGTGCGCATCCCCAATCCCGCCCACGCGAGATTCGAACTGAACTTAAGCTGTGTCCACCTAAGGGACTTGAAAAACCATGATCACAGACAAATGGTGCACATATGCTCCAGTATCCGAAGGGAAAAATGGCATATGAATCAGTCGTTGGTTATCGACTACGATGTTTCATTGCCTTGTGGATCAGACCTTCAGATCAAAGGCTTCGGGTGCAGCCCCCTAAGTAAACCATCTGTTTCGCCTGGGCACCTGTGCAGTTTCACAGCCCTCACAAAAATCAAATGAGGTTAGTGTGGTGCATATATATCTGTTACCCCTTATTACCAATATTAATGTGTTTATATAAATAAATAATCGAAGAACTAAAGGTGAATTGATTACAGTTTTCAAATTACTTAGTAATTAGTTTGCATCTGATATGTTCACACATTTTTATGTCTTCGAAAGAAAAGAGAATTTACGAGGATATTCCAACAAAAAATTCACAAGTCCAAAACAAATTACATATCAGCTAATTTTACTAAGTTTCCTATCAAATCATCATTGAGTGGTATTCATTACCTCAACACGTGATTGAAGCTCCGTTCATCGATTCTTTCAAAAAGTATGTCGGATCAACTAAGAAATCATCATCGTCATAACTAACTAATACAGATCATCAACTCTCTTATCCTTAGATTCTTTTTCTTTTTTTTGAAAAAATGAAACCATAATACTCTAATGAACAACAACCAAAAAAAATGGAAAACTATATCCAACATAAACAAACCTTTAAATTGATTCAATGTTTCATTATTTTCATTTAATAATTGATGATTATGTAATGTTGTATCTTTTAATTTTGTTTTATTTTTTTTATTGATTTTCTTTTTATTGATTTCTGATGATTGAATAATTGACATAAATGGGCATTGTGATAATAATTTATGAAATTCTTCAGTTGAATTTACAAATGATGGATGGTGTTTAGATTCCATTAGAATTTTTTTCCTAATTTTTTATGGTTTGATTTATGGACTGTAATTGAGATTATTTATAGAAATAGAAAAAAGGTCAATCTATTGGACGATAACCAAAGAAAAATTTGATTGGTGTAAATAATTAACCAATCAAATGATGAGAATTGTATCCATGGGAAATAATTTCTTTTTGAGTGGATAACGCAATGACGTTTGAAGTGAACGGTACCGGGTTCGAGCCCCAGAGTGAACATTAACTCTGAGATGCAGGTACATCCAGCTAAAGAGTCCCAAATAGGACGAAGTGTCGCGCGTCAAACTGGATTCTACTGCTAGCCAATATCTATCTTTGCTTACCATGATTGTAAATTTAGGTCATATTGAGGCAATACGTACAGTATGCACATATGCCAATTAGAAACTGACCATTTACAGTCCTAACACATCGATGGGAAGATTCAAACAAACAACAATAAGTGAATTCAAATTTCTTTTTTTCTTTTCTATTTTCTTCTCTTATTTTGTTTTTCATCATTACACTACACTAATATGATTTACAATAATGAAATATAATTTATCATTTCTAAATATATTTGATGTGAATAGAGAAATAAGAAACCTTAACAAACTATGGAATTTATTTTTTGGGGGACGTTATTTCATTTAATTCAAAGTTTGTAAAACTGTAACATTCACTTTTGCCTCTAGTCTATTCTACTAGTTTTCGATCATAGGTGTCCTGGGACCACCGAGTAAGTAATGCAGTTGTTAGGAAACGGGTACTAGGTAAGGATGGCAAATCAATTGATGAAGTAATGAAACTTCATCAGTTGAGATGGCTGGAATACGTGTTAGGTATGGCCAACCACCGACTGCCCCAACGTGCAATGTTTGATGGTGTAGAAGTAGGTTAGAAGAAAACTAGGGGCAGCCAGATCAAAACGTGACACGAATCCATGAAGTCACTGACAAGTGAACTGAGTCATGTTGGTAGGTGTAGACTACCTGGTTGGGATCCGCGAGATGATAGTAACCGATGGTTAGAGACCTTGAATGACATGGCTCAAAATCGTTTGCAATGGCGAAGGTGGATCCACTCTTTGTGTTCTTCCGAATTCTAATCTTCTGAATTCTTCATGTCTCTATCCTTTTTCTCTTTCCAAATTTATTTCACTAGATTATACTCCTTGAATAACATCTTCGAACCCTAATCTTTCTGATAACTGCTTATACTCTTACTACTTCTACCACTATGGGATTTGAATCGACAACTTCATCTCTGTGCTAATGTGGTATGGCAACTCGAACTGATGTACGTACATACGAAGTCCTACGTTGTGACTGACTGACCTAGTCTATTCTACGGATCATAAGCTTACGTTTGATGTATGATTCACTGCCATAACATTTTCTGTTCTAAAGCTATTGTGATTTAGACGTAATCTTTTGTACTCTATTTTCTACTCTAATCCTCCAGTTTTTGACATAATTGTATTTTCCTAATTATTGGACGTTGTGGTCAGGTTAGTCACCTATTTATTCATGTATCTTTTTACACTAATCTGAATTCCGGTACCAGATCGGGATTGGAATAAAGCGAGTAGTGTTCCAGTTGTCTTGTCTTCTCTCTCGCGCGCGTGATTGTCAGCCAATCAGGGATAGAATAGTTTTCGCCTCTCTACTTCCGCTTCGAAATCACGCATACTAGCCTCAAGGTTAAGCCAGTCAGCCTATCGTGTTAAGGTCTTAATCTACATTGGATAAGTTATCCTCGGCATGAAAGTGGGTAGACAGATCAAGGACGTAACAATATCTAACTAACTAAAAGAATAAATGCAATATTAAAAAGTGGGATTTATATAGAAAGTTTATAATTAGACAATAGTCAGGAGGGGTTTTGTGGAGATTTCAATATTTACATAGTTGAAAGCATGAGTCAGTTGAAGCTAGACTACCATGAAAAATCTAGGAATACTGGACGGCCGTTTCGTCCCAGTATGCGACTCTTCAGCAGTGCGCATCCACGAACCCGCGCTCGTGAGACTCGAACCCAGGACGCACCAGTGTCGAGCCAGAGCGTTTAACCGATAGACCACTGAGCTGGCATCCAGCGGTGTTAATGTCCAACTAACGATACTAATCAGATAGAAGAAAACTTAATAAAGATTCTGATTCATCATGCTAGAATGACTCGCTTCCTTACATTGGTAACTTGCTTAGTAGGAATGGATACCTTAAGAAATTCATCGACAAATACATGAAGGAGATGAAAAGAAGGATAAGGATACTTACCGTTCTAAAGAAAGTACAGTTATTAAAATTACAATTATTAAATGATGCTACCGAGGAACTTGTGACTCAAAGTCAGCTAGACTGAGTGTTATTTTCTACAACCGCCTCATAATAAGAACGGTTAATAAAGACGGATTGCCTGAATTCGCTACATCCATGTGTATTTACTAATTCAACTTCTCCTGCTCAGCCAGTTATATAACGCGTACAATTCCAAAACTCCATCATCGCATAACAGAGCATCATCCGTCTTGGTTGAACAAAGGACAAATAAGAGTGATGAAGCGTTCCGTTCTCGCTCACTTGGTGGACACAGGTTGTCAAGTCGAATTGAATAAAGCTTTTATGGTTATCCACCATATTCCATCAAATTTGCTGCATGGTTTACAAGTTTGTCTTTTTCACATTGCTGAAGTCAATTGGAATCCATGTTCACAAACCGAACCTTTGTATCCAAAAGAAGTTTGTACAACCACTGTCGCAACCTTGGCCATCGGTATAGCTGAGTTTGTAGCACAGCTTTGGTAAACAATTATCTTATTCTTTCCATTTTTATATTTTACTTATTCTCTACATTCGTCTGTTGATTTTGACATAACTACTATATTACTGACTATTCATCAAAATATTTTGTTAGCTCCTTCTTCTTTGATTTAGATTTGTTCTCTGAGTTGGATGCTTTGGTCGTGGAGCTAACCTACAAATCTTCTCCACCATCTCAAACTCTTTTTTCTCTTTTTATATATTATGCAACGTAGCAACTGCTTGATTTTCAAATAATGACGGAAGGAAGTTTACTCGTTTTTTAATTGTATCTTCTATAATAACAGTCATATAATTGAACATTTTCCAAAATATCATTATACTTTCTAGTGTTTTACGGTAAATTAATTTGACAATAAAATGTCTTTGATGCATTGTTAAGGTTTAAAAAGGGGGGGTTACTTTTTGTTATATCATGTGCGTCAGTGCCCAGTTTATATATGACATGATGATTCCCGCCAAATCAGAGAGGAGTGAACTATCGATCAAAGCAATGATACACAAAAGTCGTACTAGCAGTTTAGAGTACTAATCGACCCTACTTTCTGCCTAGCTGAACCAGTTAAGTCCAGAACACCAATAACTGCCTCCGCATTATGAATAATTATTCTCAAGCATACTGGGTTTATATACCAAACAAACTGAGCACATCGTACTAATAAAATAGAAAATAACATTTGTACAAGATTCAGCCGAATGTGGCTATGAATAAGGGGAACAGTAATTAAAAGACTGGGGATAACTCAAGAATGGTATACCGTATGACAATAGTCTATAGGTCAAAATAAAGCTTATGATAAGAGAGACATGAATATGAATAGTTTAGTTACTTAGCCATTATACAATAGGAAATATACATATCACACTGGTCCATAAATAGTTCTCAAAGTTAGTACTCATAAATCTCCACGGTATATAACACTTTTAATCATAATCATATTAGAAATACAGTACTTCCTGATTAAAACTCCCGACATAATTACCAATGATGATTTTTATCTAGTTCATTATCGGTAATTCGTACTAGAAGGTGTCATTAGTATTAATACTACACAAAGTATGATACTATATGATGTTTAAACAAGTGCCTAAAAGTGTTAAGAAGAATAGAAATCAATGGAATTTACCTCGATAATAAGAATAGATGAATCGCCATGAGTTTTGATGATCGAGGAGCTAAAACGCTGATGTATATCATAAAAAACTTTGAACGATATAGTAATCACTATGACTTCTAATTGTAGACTAAATTCCGCTAGACAACTAAATGAAAACCAATGAAGACGAGAAAGTTTTATGAGACTTCTCAATAATCCATACACTTGATCTATCGAATCTACAATATTTAAGTATTTTGTTAAACAATTCATAGTAAGATCAAAGTATTAAAGTGTAATAGCATAGATTGTCTATGTCAATAACTGAAGTAGTGAGAAAAGAATTTTTTTCGTTGTTCATTTGAATGATTTTCACTTCATGAAGGAACTATTGGAAATCATCCATTAAACTTTTAGTTACTCAAGTTGTACTGAAGTAGTCAAATGAAAATAACTAAATAGATTCAAGTTATTTGATAGAATCCGCTTTTGTAGTTTAATTATATTTGTAATCAACAACTGGATGTACGGTGTGCAAAACCTTCAATCACTTCAATCAATTATATAGAATTTTTTTGAAAGTATTTGTAGTTTGTGTGGACTCCTTTCCCCCCCCCCAAAAAAAAGCAAATCTCACGAGTGCGGGATCGTGGATGCGCACTGCTGAGGAGTCCCATGATAGGACTAAACGGCCATCCAGTGCTTCCAGGTTTTCTATGATGGTTTAGCTACAATTGACTCACTCTTTCAACTATGAAATCACAATATTTTCATTTTGCTTAACTTATAATTGTATATATCTTACCCTTTGTTGTTGTTAGCGATAACAAATGGTCTATTTTAGTTGCAGTTCTTAGCATTAATAACAACGAGAAACATTAACGCTGATTAATTAAATTCATTTCTGTTGCCTAGGGTAGTGGTTAACCGGACTCAATAGCACTCATTAGATAGTGATCTAGTGTTTTGAGGAAAACATACTGGATTCGGACCCGATCCCATATCACCCAGCTTCACAGTTAGATGCGCTAACACTGAGCTATCTGGGCCGCCTCTGCCAGGGAAGTCCTACTCACTCCCTTTTCATGGCATTACTGTTGTTTAC